TCCTGCTGTTCACTCTTCTGTAAATGCTGATCAGTTCCCCTCTGGTCACTTCTGAGTCATCCAGGGGACTGATCTATTGTCTCCTTTATTCCATGGCTTCTGGATCTATAGCTAGAGCAGACTCACACATGAATGATTGTTCAGTGTTGCCAACATTTTTAGAAGAGGAGATGTGTGCTCTACCACTTAGCCTACTTTGACAGTTGACTACCATCACTTTCTTATGTGGAGCTCAAAATCAACTCCTCTGTTGCTACAGTAGTTAATATCAAAGCATCTTGCCACTGAAACAAAATACAAAAACATTTCAATGAGATGAGGGAATCCTGTTAGTAGTGTGAACGTCAACTATTTGGCTCATTTAGAGCTGTGAAGCCTTGCAAAGTGAGTATTAACATCCACTTGGGGGAAGAGAATGAATATTGATTGCTCTGAGACTATCTGGAGATCTTGAATCACAAGTTTTTATCTTTCCTGGCTGACTTCTGTAATGGGCCAAACAGTATGTTGCCTAGAGTGGTGCATCTCCTAGTGGTTTTGGATTTGCTATTTATTTGTTTTTATTGAGTGCTGCCTTGACATTTGAGGATCACATTGTGACTTAACTCTAGAAAGCTGAGTAACTGAATTTGTATGAAGACCTTTGACAGAATTACTTGTATACTGACTGTTTTGACAAAGGAAAGGGATTTCTTTGAAGATCTTCAGAAAGAGATAGCTGAAGGTGACATTTCACCTCAGTTAAACCTTGAGCATGGACATACTCCCACAAAATTATTTTTTTAAAGGTTGTAGCAATAGCTGCGTTTACTAGTTAGTTGATGGATTTAACCATGTAAGATTATTGCTCAGTCAAGAATGCTGAAAGGCAAGGTGTGTGGTGTAGTGTAACAGGAGATGCAGCAGTAACTCTTTCAGATGAGAATTTTCAGGCCAGATGGCAAAAGTATAATTGCATGCTCTTCCTCAAGCCCTATGTCAGACTCACTGTCCTATAATCTCAGAGGATTTGTCATGCAAGTACCTTTTTAAGGTAGAAATCACAAGGTACTTATTAGGACACAGGAAAAGAATATGCAGAATTGCTTGAGTCAGTGCCAAAGTTCTGTACCTCTAGAACATCTGTAAAGGACTTGCAGAATTGTGGAGCATTCAATACTGTAGTTAAGGATGAAATTAATTTTCCTGCAAAATGTGTTTGTTTTTCCAGTGCAGTTGCTTTGCAAGAAGTAAATTACAAAAATTGGCTTATCAGAGGAGAGACCAACCAAGAAGTATAGAAGTGGATTTATACTTAAATTTTATTTTTATGACATCTTTTCTACCATTTTGGTTTCCCTTTTGTCTGGTGTTTTTGTTGTGGTTGGTTTGTTTGTTTTGTTTGTAAGAATGATACGTAACATATTATCTTGTTAAAATAACTGCTAGCTGTTGTATGTTGTAGGTACTTTTTGCTCTGTGTGAACTACTTCTTTTATGGAGAGACTGTAGCTGATTACTTTGCTACGTTTGTTCAGAGAAGAGAGCAGCTTCAATTCCTAATTCGTTACCACAGGTTTATATCTTTTGCACTCTATTTAACAGGTAAGTGTAGGAAATTGCAAAAATGAAAGAATTTTGTGCTGCATTTGTTTCTGTGCTTATTTCTTTTATTTCTTTTTTTTTTTTTTAGTAATTCCTCCCCAGCTTTATGCACTTTTAGTTTCTTTCTCCTCTTGATGTTCAAGGAAATTAGGTGTTTGTGGTTCTGTTTTTCCCGTGAAAAGATTAATATAAATTTTGCTTTCACTGAGAAGAAGAAAGAAGCCCAAACAAGTGCATGATCTTGAGCGAGTTGAGCTAATAGCTCTTAAGAGAAGTTGGCATGAATTAATTTTGAGTGCTGGAGAAATGGAGCTCGATACCTGAGTACACAAATGCTATTTTGGCAGTCTTGTGGAGATTACTTGTATGTGTAATTGCTGTATTGTGCAAGTGTTTTGCTAGGTCTACAGCAGTGAGATTGACCAATGTACTTCAAAACAATTATTCAAAATGTTGGAGGCTTTATTTTGTCTGCAAAACACTCAGATGCTTGTGTCATGGGTAGATTTTCCTTCTACTTTTTAAAAGCCTCTTCTCTAGGAAGAAGAGATACAACCTCTCAGTCTTGTGGGGTATTGCTTTGTGAACATGTAAATACAGGCCACAATGTTTTCAGCAATGCAGTTAATATGACTTTAGCCTAAAATTGATTGAGGTCTCAGATAGGCTGAAGGGGCAGGAGACTGCTATGCTACAAATACTTGTAAAATATACTAAGAAACCTCATCTCTATGATGAACTGTCAGTCTGTCTGCTGTTAATTTTATTTTTAAAACCAGATTAAAATTCTACTCTGTGCTTAGATCACAAACTTGAAATCAGCTTTGCAAGACTTGACCTTTTTCAGCTGACTTTGGCTTGAGGAAGCTAACTTACCTAGTGCCTTGTGATAGCTGAAGCACAGTGAAGGGAGAGATAAGACAAGCCAGTTATGAGTGTAGCAGATCCTCTTGGTGGCTGCTGCATTGGGATGGTGCGGTCACTGAGGGTCATCCCTAGGGCTAACCCTAGTGTTAAGGGTCTTTTGAGGACCTCTGACTCCATTGGCAGAGGAGGTTGCCCTAGGGGAGAGAAGAGGTGCTCTCTTAGTCACCCAGATAGTTTCTTTCAGTCAGCAGAATTCTCCAGCACCAGCATTTCAGGCTTGCATTGCATGCAGCCATATGCCTGGCTGAGGGAAAGGCACAAGCTGGTTTTTTCCTTTCAGTTATTTCTGTTAATTATTCAAAACCAGCCTGTTGACCTGGTTTTGAGTGTTTTTTAGAGGTGATGGTCTCCTCCCCTAAAAATTTGTGTCTATGATGGGACCTTGTGAGTAATGAAATGGATGCTCTTTACTGATGTTTACTAAATTGTGTGCTCTAATGAGAATAATTCTATATGTACATTTAGCTGAATACAAGGAAGATGCTTCTAGCAGCAGAGGTACTAAAAGATGCTTTGAGGGAAGAGAATTACTGGTATATCACTGTTCAGTGTAATTAAATATCAGATGGTACAAACTATGCTTGTTTTGTTTTTTTACAGGCTTCTGCATTTTTGTTTTGAGTTTAGTGAAGAAACATTATCGCCTGCAGTTTTACATGGTGTGTATTACCCACTTTGTTGTGATCACTTACATTATGAATGTCACTAGAAACAGTCATGTCTGTATGGCCATAAAATGGCTTGGAAAGAGGGGTGTGGAAAATGTGCTTGGACTGAAAGTAACATGAAATCACATGGTGTTGGGTAGTTAATTATCTATTCACCTTGCAGCTTAATACTATATCATGGGACATGGCTTTTCCATCAGTACAAGCTTTCATTGGTGAGGCCCTGTGCATATACAATGTGGTATGTTAACCTTAGTGATGGGCTGTTATGAAAGATATTACAGGAGAAAGGGGTGTGCATCTACCTCCCAGGTCTGAAGCCAAATAGTTCAGCATAGCTGGGAAGTGGTTCTTGTGACTCAAGTGTCACTTTGTGGAGGCCTCACTAAGTACTATGAAAGGAACTTGATCTTAATCCTCATTGTGGAAGATTTATTCTGTGACACTTAACAGCAGTTCTGGTCTTTTACTCTTCTGTGCCTCAATAGAACATTAATTACTAAAAGAAACCAGTGTTTTCATCTCTCATGCTTGTCCACCTAAAAATCAGCATGGGAGCTAATAAAGGGCATGAACTTTTTCCTTGTATTGTCTTCTAGGTTGAAAACTAATTTTGTAACACCACAGGTAAAAAAAAAAACAAACAAAAAAAACAACCAAGAAACAAAACAAAAACACCCCCACAAAAAGAACCAAAAAAAACAACAACAAAAATCAACAACAACAAAACCAACCAAACAAAAAACAACCAAACAACAAAAACAAACAAACACAAGAAACCCCACCCAAACTAAAACAAATCCAAAAAAACCCACTGGCACACCACACCTCACCTTCTATATAGAAATGGTTAGAAGCAAAAGCAAAGCAGCTCCTGTCATTAAAGAACTTGAGCAATCAGGGCATTGTGCAACCCTAAGGATTTCTTACGGTTTCAAGTTCTAAAGATGCAATTAACTCCTCTGTTTCTATAGTGCTTTAGGTAGCACTTTACCATCAAGGACTCCTAATTATAGACTAGGTCTTAGCTGAGACCTGTATGAGCATGGAAAAAAATCTTTTACTCAAAAAAAAAAAAAGAAAAAGCATGCCCTGTTTGTGGGACAACTTGTCAGTCAGGGAGATGTAGCTCTTCTAGGAGAGGTGGCCTTTATCATCTAATCTGCAAAAAAAAATAAATTCCTTAAGATTGGCACAAGGTAAATATAATAATTTTTATATATTTTCTGTATATTAATTTTCCCTTGTTTGCCTTCTGGAAAGAAGGCAGAAAAAAATGTGGTATCAGTCATATGAGTTGTTGCCTGCCCAGAAGCCATTAAGATGTGACTGCCTAAGAATTGCAGTAAAATGAAAGGAAGCCATGTATATCCTGTGGATGGACAGGGAGACTAGCCATTTGGGTTTAGGGGGTGTTTCAACGTCACTATACAAATGTTAAAAATTTTGCTGCAAAGATGGTTCAATTAACCAGCAGATAATACTTTCAGAAACCTTTAGTCAGTTTCTGCACCTCCCCTTTCAGACTTCTTGAGTTGTCTTGAGTTCTCTTGTCTTACCAAGAGATTCAAAGAACTAGGACATTCCAAGTGTTAAATCATCCAGACATTTAGAGTGCTTAAATTTGGTGTTTTGTGGAAAAACTACCAGGTTTTGATTTAAAAGTTTTTGGAAAATAAAATCTATTGTAGATTCTTTACTGGTAAGCTGTTCGGAAACTGTTTTATTGTAGTACACTGGTGCTACAAAATAAACACAAAGTATGGACGGTAATACTGAGGAAAAGGGCTGTTTAAATGACCATGTGCCTAAAAATTAGCACTTTGTTTTTGCTAATCCTGAGAATGTTCATATTTAATAAGAGGGCAGGTATTCTGTTATGAAAGAGATCCATATCTGTGTAACATGACTCTTCCATGAGTTTTTCATCACCATTTTATTGTTACAGTTCTAACATGTCTTATATGTATATACAGAATATCACATTGCTTACGTTTCTCTGCTGCTTTCATGCTAAAGGGGTATGTCTTATTATATTAGATGTTAAACTGCACTTTAAATTCTGGGTAGGTAAGTTCTGGGGAAACCTGTTAAAGTTTTGGTACTTGCTTCAGAAATCCAGCTGGCTTGTGATATACTGTATGCACACATCTTATGCATTATCACTAGAACTGGTCTTTCCTGTGAGCTCCTAAGTAGCTCCTCTAGCTGACATGCCAGTATTTACCAAGGTGTATGGATTGGTGTTTTCACTAACTGTTGTGTTGTTGCGTTGTTAACAGTTCGCATGGACTCATGTCACTTTGCTGATCACTGTAACTCAATCTCATCTTGTCATCCAAAATCTCTTTGAAGGCATGATCTGGTAAGGGGACAGTAATAAACTGATATGTAATCTATTGCATTGAAAGTTCTTTTACATAGATCTGGTTAGGGACGAATTGTGGGAATGGCTAAAGCAGCACAAATTAAAGGACTTTTAATGTCTAGTTGGAAGGGGAGTCAGAAGAATTGGGAGCAAAGAGGTGAAGGAGGCAAGAGAGGAAGGAGAAACCCCTCTAACCAGATTGGCAACCACAAGTATGACAGCTTTGAACAACCACTTCACTTACTTGCAAGAAATAGGATCGCTTGCATGCTTGGTGAAATAGTTTTTGTAGCATGTTGCTGAATGGATGAAGATCCAGCAATTCTTTTTCAATTACTTGGGTGCTTCATGTTGCTCAGAGCCATTGAAGTTGGAACACTGAATTTGAAATCCCCCATCCAGCCTCCTTCCTTGCCACCTTCCCTATTAAATTCAGATTACTTAAAATATTAAAAGAGTTTGAACCTTGGATATTGTTGGGTCATCTTAATACCCCATTTCCAGTGATGTATTTAACTTTGATAATGCAGTTAAAGTTGATTACTTAAAACCACTCCTCAAAGACAGGGTGTGTTTTCCCACCTCCAGTGCTTTAGGGATAGAGTAAATTACAAGTTGAGAAAGAAGCAAAAAGCACGTGGAATTTGATTTGTGTTCTTCCAAGGAAATAATACTGTATATTCTTTTTCCTGATATATGTAGTACTGGGCAGATAATCGCAGAAAAGATGTGCTCCTGCTTATAAAGAAAACCCAAAGCCTTTTGCAAAATTTCTGTATAAACAAATTATTTTCATAGTGATCATGTTCATGTGTGAAAAACTGACCCTAGTTGCCTTGCTGGCCTACTATTTCTTATTTCCACTGATGCTAGGCAATTTGAGATATGGTCACATAATCTGATTTTTTAGCTTATTAATACATGCCTGTTTTGAAAAGGGAAAAAAAAAAAGGAGGTTAACAGACTTCAGTATCAAATTCAGATGCTGTCTGAATGCAAAGAACATTTAGAAAGCTAACACAGGCTGCTCCAAACTGACAAGAGAGAAAAAAAAAAGTTGTTTGTTTGTTTTTTTAAATTTAGGTATCATTAACTTTAAAAGGAATTTGCTTGCTCTGATGTTACCAGTAACATTAATATGTTTATATCTGTTGATTTCTTCCTAACTGTGGTGCCAGTCTCCCAGCCTGAAAGGAAAAAGCCAGCCTCTTCATGTTTTAAGCTCATGCATAAAATAATATTTTAACTTGAACTAACATGAATCTGTAATGATTTTGACTGGCTGAAAACTAAAACCAGTATAGCTAAATTGCTGCTCATGGGGGACACATTACGAAATTTAATTCCTTCTAAATACAACAGAAATAATTCCCAGAAAGAAATGCTGTTGTTCCCATTTCTGTCCTGTGTTTGGGTTTGGTCAGCTTTTTCTTTTTTACTCTCCATGAAGTTTTAATGTCTTTCTCTAGGTTTCTGGTTCCAATTTCAAGTGTTATCTGCAATGATATTACTGCTTACATTTTTGGATTCTTCTTTGGCAGAACTCCATTAATTAAGGTATTTACTTAGGCACTTCCTCACTAACAAGTTTTTAGAATTTATAGCATTTTTAATACTTGTTCAAAAACATGTTCATGGAAAAATACTTTCTGCTGTACTGCATGATGTATATATATAAAATATATATATTTTTTATATTTTATATATATATATTAAAAAAATTGACTATCTCAACTCTGAAGATTTGTAAGTGGAAACTGGGATTAATATGAATGTAATATTGACATTATGGTATAATACAGTTTGAGCCTATTTCATCATTATTGATGATCACTTTGGTTTTGGATTTCATATGAAGGTTTAACTACATGCTTACTGTACAGAAACTGTAGTCTGAAATAAGCTGCTAGGTCATTTATATTTATTCCTCATCTGATCTCACTGATGTAGCACTGAGAAGGGCTCAAGTAGTCATCTTGCTATTCTGGTAGCAGATGGATGACCCCACAGAAAGCTATGAATTATTAATTTCATTATGTTGCCATGTAAACTTGTGAGTATTTCGTTGTTTTGGATATTAAACTGCTCCTAAGTTTAAAACATGGTAGAATTTGGGGAAGAAAATGTCTTGTCTCTGTAGGCCCATGTTAGTTACTTGCTGTGTTAGTTTGCCAGTCAGTATGTAGGAAGCCAGGGTCTCCTGAAGAATGTCCCCAGCAGCAGCCTAGCACCCAGGATTCTGTTGCTATCTAAATGTGCACTTGCTAGCAGAGGTCACCAACAGACAGCAGTGTCCTTGTGCAGTTTTCCAAGTCGTCTGCTTGAAGGAGCTCAGCTGCTTAATTGGGGTCAGCTGTGGCCAGGGGCAGGCAGCAGCCTCCAGAGGCAGCAGCAGATGGGGAGGGAGCTCTCTGCTTCCTCGAGCTGCACAGTTGTACCAGCCAAACTGGGGCACTTTCCCTCCTTGCCTGGGACGGGTCCAAGCCTTACTGCTCTATTGATCATGTTCAGTGGCTGCAGCTGCCAACATTCATTATTTTACACATACCATTTTTTATTATTCTTTTTTTTTTTTTCCAAATTACCAAGTAGGAGCTTAATTTTCACAAACAAGGACCAGAAATAGAGCTAAAAGGGTTCAGTGATGCAACTGATGAGGCTAATGCTATCTCTTTTGTGCCTAGCTGTCTCCCAAGAAGACCTGGGAAGGGTTCATTGGAGGCTTCTTTTCCACAGTTGTATTTGGATTCGTTGTAAGTAACCACAGGACCTTCCTTTTCAAATTCCTGTTTTTACTTGAAATAAAACTAATGACAAATTTTGTCATCTCAAAATGCTGAAAGCCTAAGAGTTATGGGGTTTTTGGGTACTGTCATGGTTTGACTCAGGATTGGCAATTAAACAAGTGACAATAATGCTCTCAATGCCCTCCTGCTCAGGCAGGGAAAGGAGGGAGGGAATAAGGAGAGAGGTTTTCCCCATTGAAAACTCAATCAGACAGCTTTAATGAAATACTAATTATAAAACGAAATATGTACAAATATGTCAGGAATGTGGTTCACCAACTTTGCTGTCTATCTAGTCCTCTCCTCTCTACAGGAGGGTTGCAGATAGGACTCTTCTACTCCTTTTGTATCCAAAGCAGTAGATGCAACAAGCAGAGCAAAGCATCCTTGGTCTCTCAGCACGGACTATAAAACATCCAGTCATTATCAGTCCATTAGCTGGAAAACTTGTGTTCTGCTTGAAAGAGAGTTCACTAAAGAAAAAAAAAAACAGTAAAAAGAAAATCAGCTTCATCCTGGCTCAAAGCAGAACAGCTACAGAATTCTGCCAACTTGTAACTAGCTGGAAAGGTTAGGCAAGACTATCACCTTTACTGAATATATTGGCCATTTTTGCCATTACTGTTACTATATCTGAAATGTTTTTATTTATTAGTTGCATCCCCATTTTGAAATCCAAGTTTATTGACAGCATTATTTATGCTTTGTGAAGTAGTACTTTTGCATTACATACTTTATAATGACATTTCTCCTGAGAAGTAGTTTAAACTGGTGATATGGATAGATGATAATAACAGCATACAGTAACTATTCTGATAAGCAATTTATCACCAAGATCAGCAGAACTTGTAACTGCTAAACTTTGTAGAAGAAATTGTTCAAGTTTTAATGGAGAAGTGAACTGCAAGGAAATGATGAGTGGCTGAGTGGCAAGTGATGTTTTGGGATTTTAGAATGCAGAAATGTCCATTAGTTACGAATCTGAGAGAAATGAAAAGGAAAACAAGTTGGGAAATTATCACTAAGCACACTGAACATCCACATTTTTCTGTCGTCTTGAGATATTCTCCAACTTAAATAGGCTGATATTATTCCATTGTGAGTCTCCTTGTTATTAAAAAGATTTTCATTACCCTCAGGTTGCATTACAGTATTATTTTTAACTGTGACAATAAATGCCTATTTCAAGTGTCCTTGTCTTTGTTTTTCAGTTTTCCTATTTTCTGGCTCAACATCAGTACTTTGTCTGCCCCGTGGAATATAACAGTGAAACCAACAGATTTGTGACAGAGTGTGAACCTTCAGAGCTCTTTCAGATGAAGCAGTACTCTGTGCCACCACTGCTTCAGGCTGTGTTGGGATGGGTAAGGAAATAAAAAAGGCTTTGCTTAAAATTGAAATCATACTTCCCAGCTTGAGTGGTTTTCTAAACATTTTTAGAAAGGAATATGAATGCTGGTAAGTTTTGAAGGGTACGAACTGAATGATACCATGTGCTCCTCCATTGCTCAGATGGGGAGGTGATCACCCAGGCAGAATTGAAGTGCATTGCTGGAGTCACCTGAGGAAACCTGGCAGTATTCTTGTGGCCTCTATCCTCTTTGTGGTCTAAATGGATACCAGTTAAGCATTTTGCAAACAAACCTATATTTGAAGACCAACTTTTAAATTTTTGTGGAAAGTAAACAAAGGGTTGCCCAAAATCAGTAGCAAGCTTAAGAAAACTTGTGGGACTTCATTCCACTTTCAGCTGTTAGAACTGGACTTGCAGGTTTCTTCACCAATAGCATCGTGTGTGTTGGTGCCATTACTTGCATGTTGAGTGAAAAAGGAATACCAGCAATAGTTTCATGTCATGTTTCCACTGACCCTTTTCCTTACATCTAGCCTGCACATTCTTTTAAGTGAGATACACTTTTAAGGTGTATCTTACCTGTAAGGAAATGGGTTGTCAATTTTCTTAATAGACTCCAGAAGCACTCCAGCAGGAAGAGAATACCAAACAGAAACAAAGCAGTCTGTCGTTTTCTTTCCTTTAGAGCAAAGAGGAGGTGACTGGGATGAATGCAGAACAAAGGAGTTTTGCAGCTCTGCCCCTGCCTGTGCAGTGGCTTAGTGCAGAGAGGGAGGGCATGGCACGGAGGAATGCAGCAGGCTCTGCGTGGGGTTACGTGAGTGTAACACTGAAGGAGAAAAGGTGAAGTGGTTACAGGAAGGAAGCACAGCTTGGAAACTGTAGCAACCAAACCTAAGGCTAAAAGTAATTAATGGCTATAGTTGGTATTTAAAAAACCAAGATGACATCTAGAAGGAGCTCAAATATTTTCATACCAAATGAACGTACTGTTGCTTCAGGGACTTGGGGGCTGATTACAAGTTTAATACGGATTTTTCTGCATAAAAATAATGTGGACAGAGCAGTAAGAAATCTTAGTGTCCAGCTATATTGTGTATTTTGGCAAAGGGAAAGAAGTTGGGAAAGCACAGCTTTCTGCCAGTCTAAAAGAGTGCTATCGGTTAACCTTTAAAAGAGATGTTCCACATGGGCTTCTGAAGTACTTCTGCCAAGCCTTTTGTGGAAATAATTAATTTTATCTCTTTATAGAAAGTCAAATTGAATGTACTTGTTTGGGCAACAGTCTATTATGTTTAGAAGACAGTTTGCTTGGTATCAAAAGATGTTGAGCCTTGTGTTCTTTCAAGAAAATTGACTTATTAATTTCAACTCGCAAACTTTTCAGTTTGACCAAACAAATTAGCCTAAAAGAAAGGTGTCTTAAGATAACTGCGCAAAGTAGTCAAGAAGTTAATTGGTGTTGGCCAGCTGTGGTGCAAGTTAGAAACACAAGGTACAGGAGTTTTCAGCTACAGTGTTTATCAAGACTTGCCAGGTGAGGCATGCTCTGCTCTCAGTGATGAGGCCAGCATACCATTCCCTCAAAGGCTGGAGCTTGTACAATTGTCTTGAAAGTGGTCAAAGCTAAGTTACCAAAAAAAACCCCCACCAAAACAAACCATGATCCCCAAACCCAGAGAACACAAACAAAAAAAACCCAATAAAAAAATCCCAACAAGCCCAAAACACCCCAACCAAACAAACAAAACCCCTTTTTAAAAAATCTATCAGGAAGGAAAACAGGTACCTGTTGCCAATGAAGTCTCTCTTATCTGTAAAAACTTGAGCAGATCAAACGAAGTTTCAAGTCTGTGAGCAGGCTGAGGGGGAAAAATATCTGTTTAGATGAAAACCAAACAGTACTCATGGGGGTAAAACCATTATTAAATCTCCTGTTATTGCCATACACAAAGGTGACAGTATGAAGGACTAGTGCAATATTCATGTCTATCTTGTGAGAGCACTTGGAAGAAGTGACAGTGAATTGTGTGAAGTTGACAAGTTTGTGGAAAGCACTGGGCCACTTAATAGAGCAATACTAGGAATTTGTGGAAAGCTTGTTTATAGGAAATGGAAATGGAGCTGGCAATGCAGAACCAGGAGATTCTAGAGTGTCCCATTGTGTGTTACGGAATTAGTAGTTATATTCCTTATGATCAACTGAGGGCCTGGCTGGAAACCACATTATTTGAAGTTAACTGCTCTAGCAACCCCAAATATGTCATCCTATTCACATGACTAAGCATTTCATCAGCTCTATACAGTGTGTCTACTTTTCCTTTCTTTTCAGTATTACTTTGCATCAAGAAATTTGCTCAGCAATTTTTAGGTATTTAAGCTTGAAATCTCTACAATGAAACATATTGGAACACAGTGTTAATTCTTTTTCCTGTAGGAAACAGTGAAGATGTACCCCTTTCAGATGCATAGCATTGCACTATCAACATTTGCCTCATTAATTGGGCCATTTGGAGGATTCTTTGCCAGTGGATTTAAAAGAGCTTTCAAAATCAAGGTATGTAATGACTCCTGTAAGACTGTTTTGGTTTTGGTTTTCACTTTCAAATAGATAAACGAATAGGTCGTTTTTTGGGGGTTTTATTTAATGAAATTCATTGTAGTACCTAGTGTTTCTGCTAAGATGTGATGATGTTTGAGCTGGTTTTTAGCATCAGCCACAGCAGTTAGTTTTGTCAGATATGTGTATGTGTTATTCTCTGCCTAATCAACATGTGACTTTGGTGTTGGACATCTAAGAATAATTTGGTTTCATATTTTGGCTGATAATTAGTCTTCCAAGTCATATTGCAGAAGTGGTTTAGACAAGCAAGATGTGAGGTACTATACCTGACGTGAAAGGTCATAGATGGCAAAGAAGCACCGATAGCAGTTTACCCTTCAGATTGTGGCTGGCTGTGTTTTACCTGCAGTATTTGTGTCATACGCAGATGCTGACGTGTCAGGTTCACCAAAGCATGAGATGTTTGGCTGCCTTTGCCAATACAGTGCTGCCTTGTAACAAGAGTGTGTATTGGCAAGTGATGTGACGTGCTAACCTCTGTTTATTGCAAGGTGTGCGCTGTCGCTTGTGGCAGTGTTGTCCCTGGCTGGTATTAAGTGGCAGCAGGAGTATGGGAAGAGGGCAGCCCCAAATTTTCTCCCGACCTTCTTTATGTCTTGGTAGGACTGCTGTAATTCTTATCCTGTTGCTTGCTGTTCTTGTTGTTGTTCCCTGTGTCCACGAGTTCTGGCATGTGCTTTGCACAGAAGCATATAAACCTCTCTGTTTGTGCTGGATTCTCCCACATGTGCCTGTACCCACCCCTCTTCCCTGTGCCGGTCTGAGCAGCTTGCCCGGCACTTTGCTGCCTACAGCCTCGTGTGCTGTCGTACCTGTGCATCCACCTTGCATTGTTGGTGTGAATTCTGAAAAGCAGCACTTAGAGTGGAAAAATAAAAAGTGGATTTAAAAAAAATAATAATTCTGGGCCCCAAGATGTTGACCAAATGACTGTTGGGAAGACAGGGATGTTGTGGGATCTGTTCCAGAAGACAGCATGTAGGTTAGATTAGACACTCCATGCTGCCTGTCCAGCACTGAAGGGCTGGAGTGACATCAGCACAGAGCTGGTGTAACTTGCTGACAGTCACTCCACATGACTAAGGTCAAGGTTTTCACCCAGCAAATACACACATGAATGTGAATGACAAAAAGGATGTGTGAGGGTAGTTTGACTGGTAAAGCTGTTCCATGGACAAGACTGGGCAGCACAAAGGTAGTGTATTGAGCTTTGCTTGCATCAGGAATTTATTTTTTTTTTAAATAGTTACAATTTTTTCACTGCCGGTTATTTTAATTCTGTTAAATATATTTGTATTGTATGCACACGTGGTTTTTAACTATGGTTACCTAGAACCCAATGATGTAAACAGCTGATGAATGGGCAGTATGACTTGCAAAGCCAGTGTTAGACAGTGGAAAGAGCCCTTAGGTTACTGCTTCTCTTGCAGCAAATATATATTCCCTGGTAAGAAGTGCTTCAGCAGCAGCTGCCACTAGAGAGAAGTAAAGCACTGAAAGTATTAAAGAGGAGAATTAGATTCTGTAGAGGCAAGAAATGACAGCCATTAGCTGAAGAGGCTTGCTGCAAAATATAATACATATAGGCAAGCGAGTGCACTCAGTACTGGCAAACCTGCACCTGACCTACTGCTGTCCTCCTGTGTGATACTGCAGGCAAGTTGCTTATCTCTACTTTTTCTTCTCACCCCTTGACTCACCTTTGCAATTAAAAACTCCTTTAGCAAAGGATGCTCTTGCTAACTTTTGGCTCAGTGCAGTGAAACCATAGCTGAATTGCGGCCTTAATGTGCTGCTGTCAAGTGATACATCATTAGTGTGTTTCATCGGAATCACTGACCAGGACTGATTGATTGACTTATTTATTTCCTTCCTCCGTGTCTTTCACATCCAAAAGGATTTCGCAGACACAATCCCTGGGCATGGTGGGATAATGGATCGCTTTGATTGTCAGTACTTAATGGCCACTTTTGTTCATGTCTATATCACCAGTTTCATAAGGTATGGGCTTTTTACAATATTAACTACTTAAATCTGCATAGGAATTGTATCATAGTTATTTCATACAAGTTATATTCTGCACTGTTAGCATAGCAGAGACTGCAGGTTTCTAAATCTGATTTATGCCATGACTTCAAATACAGAACTATTAAGAAAACGTCCCTGCATAGGATTTGGGTCAGATTCAAGCTATGCCTTAATGTTTCTGTGACTGCTGTTAGAGGTAATATGTGTATCCTAAATGCTAGAAAATTTTGTGTAGCATCCTCTTAAAAGTTTTACTAGAATTTACTGATTACAGGGAGATATGAGGATGGGATTTGGGGCAGGAGGGTTGCTGCAGCATCTGCTTTCTCTGAGTGGTTCCTGAAGAGCCTGTAGGTTGTGAGACTGCAGTTCTTCATGTAAGCTTTAGTATTTTTTGTTCTCTTGACTTGGGATTTTTTGTGTGAGATTAAAATACTATAATTAAAGAGAGGAGTCAATGTCTTAAAAATACTGCTCACCTTCCTTGAACCACACCAGCTTTCAAGCAGAAATTGTGGGAATGACAGTTCTCTTACAGTCAGTCATTTTAATTCCAGGGGCAGGGGGGGTATCAAGGAGCTGTAGGCATCCAAACTGATGCATGCCCTTAGTTTTGTAAACGCATATGGCTAAACAGTTATTAGATACCTAATCAGCAACAGATTTTTTGCCTCGTATTCAGTCCATCTTAGAAGTAGACTGTAAATAAGCGACTCGCTAAAAATGAGGCTGTTACTTAGAAAAGTTTTGTTTAATTTGTGGTTTTCTTTACCAACTTGGCCAACTTTCCATTTTGTTCAATAGCACACAGCTTATCTGTCAACAGATACTAAACTAATAAAGATCAGTTGATGAAAAATGTTGATTACAGTGATTAAGGATGAATTAGAGAACTTTTTTTTGTTGTAAGCCTTCTTAATATTCCCATTTGACAGCAAATACAAGAAATGCTTTAGTTTCTGTTCAGATTGAGCTAAGGGGTATTGTTTACCAATAATGTTCGCTCATGCACCCTGAGGAGATAGACTGCAAGAAGTCCTTAACTTGGTCTTCCCATGAAAAGGAAGGCATTGTTTGTGCAGCAACAGAAAAAAATGGAAACCTGCTGAAAAGTCTCTTTATAGCTTCTGCCTACAAAATAAAATTTCCTTTTTCATTGACAGGGGTCCAAATCCCAGCAAATTACTGAAACAGCTGTTGATACTTCAGCCTGAACAACAACTGAGCGTGTATAAAGCCCTGAAATCTCACCTTGTCGAAAAAGGGATACTGCAGCCATCTCTGAGAGGGTAGTTTGTCAAAACAGAGAACTAAAAGAAACCTCCATTTACAAGAAGCCTCTGGAAAAGCATGGGAAATGTGCATATAAATAATAGCTAAAGGAAGAGCAGTTTGGTCTGGAAGAGGTGAATATTTCCTGGATGTAACATGAATGCTATGACTTCCTATCAGGACACGGAAGATCTCGTATTCCTAAAATAATTAAAATGCTTGCACAGTAACAGAAGTAACAGTACACATTCTGTAATTTTAGTTCCTAAAGTGGATGGCAGCAGTCTTCCTTCAGCACCCAGCCTTGACAGGCTTTGTATTTGAAAAAACCCAAAACATTCACTGTTAGTTTTTAATTACTCATTGAATATTGTGTGTCTCAGCAATACTTTTTTTGGTCTCCAGTGGCTACTGAAGCGTAAACAGATAAGGCAGGCAGTCACTTTTATGTAGCTCAGTGCTGAAATTACAACTGGAGATAAAATACTTGTTAGCCTACTCAAAGAGGTACTTGCAGCCTGCTGTATCAGACTACCTGTGTTTTCTAAATTGCTATGAAGGTTAAACCTAGCTCTGGTTTTAGTTAGACATCTTTCTTATGAAACTATTTCATGCTTTCAAAAGTATCTTTGCAGCAGTATAGTTGGGCTATTTGGGCTGTGAAACTGTTATTTTTTTGCTTAATGTTACAGATTGTAATTATTATAATTATTATACAGCATCTCCATCCAAGAGTAGAGATTACTTGAGAAAATGGGATTCTCCAACCCAGCAAATAGATGGGGGAGAATCTGGAGTTTAAGCCCTTGGTTTCCATTGCCTGGTCAGTGTCTGAAGACAGTAATTCAAGCCTTACTCCTTGTGCCTCTTAACTACTGTGTAGGATGGGGGTATTTCCTTCTTTTTAAAAGCACTTTGAGGTCCTGAGTGAAAGTGAAGTTTAAGCTCTGTTTTATTAATGTATTACTCAATGAAGGCAGAAATTAATGAACGTGCACAGTGCAAGACAGGCTGCATGGTTCTTCAGCTGTGTATTGTTATTTACTAGGAAGCTCCTCAAGCAAGCTTGGTTTAACTACGTAGGTGTTTGAATGGAGAAATTTGATAGAAAACAGCTATTCTGTAGACTTAGTGGGGCATATGAGGAAAGCTGATGCTCTGAAATTCTCAGTCCTAGTTGTTTTCTAACTTTTTTCAACATGTGACATGTCTTGATGCAAATAAAAATATAAACTTTTTTTAAATTACAAAACTGACACCTGTACAAACAGAAAGCACAAATGCCAATTCTGTTTTGATATATTGTAACTTGATCCAATTTAATTCTTCCAAATAATTGTAAATAAGTTTCTTCTGCAGTGAACCTACAGGTGCTGCGTAAATGCTTGTGTGTATATATATAAAATATTAGAAATGGTATGTGTAAATATTAAAGGTGAAAATTTTAAATGGTTGGTGCTACTTGAGGATAAAAACATGGAGAAAATCACTAGGGAGGGTGACAAGCTGTATATATGAATTCATACTACTTTTTGTTGAAAACCATGTAGCTGAAACCACCGTGCACTTTGTAATTCCCACGGATGTCAGGTATTTGGCAGAATTAAATTCTGTCTGACCTAGAGATTGCAGTACTGCATTGAAGGAACATTCCAAGAGGTGAAACGTGTCACCACTGCTTGTGTGTCAGTGGCCGTGTGACTTGACTCATTAACTGCAGGGAACTGAATTTCAGCCCTTCCAGCAGAGGACATCATAGCCCGAGGTTAAAAGGTTGCACAGCCAGGGAGTGGGACATGTGGAAAGGTGCTTTAAAAAGAAGGGAAAACAGAGGGTGACCAAAGTAGCATACCTGGAAAATTAACTCTTAGGTGAGGCTCTGGTTATGTATGGGACTTCGGTAGATGCTTATGAAAAAAAACCACAACCATACTGGAGCTGGTATATCTTTATATTGGGTATTTAAAAATATTTAAAAACTAAAAATTATATATGGAATATATATAAAGGTAATTGTTACTTCAGAAAATGAACTTTTTAGTGTAATTTTATAGCATGTATAATAAGGAATTTAAAATATATTTTAGAACTTAAATACAACATAGCATTTGAAATGAATTGCTATATATTTGCACAATAGAAAGTTCAACACTGTGATTCTGCTGTTCAATGTTAAAATGAGGAAGGGATCATTTACAAACTCATTCTTCAGTTTTCTGGATAGAGTAATAGCTTCCTGCTTGCTTCAGCTTGGTGTAAATAAAGCTCAGCAGCACTTGCCACTGAGAAGTTACAGCTACACTTGCTTACTATGAAGTGCATTTATCGCACTTGTTACTTCTATTTGTTCAAGCATTGCAACATTATCAACAGGGAAGTTTAACTTTTTACACCAGTGACTCTTTTCACTTGCACTTTTGTTCCAAGTTGCTACAATTACCCATTGAGCAAAAAAAATAAACAAATTGTATATTATGTAAATATTGTAAATGATACAAGTATATAATGTCTGTTTTAGTTTGACTGTTTCAATCTTTCATTGAAGCAGGTGTTGTAAAAATAATAAAAATAAAATGGGGACAGAAATCCTCCTGTCTTGTATTCCCTATAGAAGTGCTCAGTGGGTGAGCTCCATTTGTAGGGACAGTTCCTGGGATGGTCAGCTGGGACTTTCTCTGGGCCCCCTCTGTATCACAAGGATGATACTGCTGCTCCCAGCCACTACTAGTCCCTCTTGCTGCCACTACAGGGATATGCACTGAAATGCCAGAGGAAGAAGGATGCAGGAACAGCAAGACTAAAGCTCCTGCTCAGGAAGAAGTAAGTGACTTTTCTTCCCAGCCTGCCACATTTTCCTCTGGAAATACGAGTAATCTTTCCATTTGCTTGGTGTCAGGGCTTGTGAAATGTTATTGTTTTGGAACTCCACTTCTCATTCATCATTCCTGGCACTGGTGGCACAGGCCTGTCAGTATTTGCTGTGTGGGGCTGATGGGGAGACAGCTGCCTCTCTCCTTCTTTCCTGTTCCTGTTGGATCTGAGACCCTTCACCTCTTGCAGCCTCAAAGAAGCTGAGTAACAAGCACATCTTGTTTCTGTATCACAAAGAAGACTGTAACATCTGTTAAACACTCACCATCAGCAAGTCATGTCTGTGCTGCCCACCTCTTTGTACTCTAGAATGGAGAAGCACAGCAGGAGCTTGACTGTGGCCTGCATCTGCTTCCTGATGTTCTTCTAAGGAAAGGGAAAGTTTGTGATGAGCCTTGTCCTGCTAGACGGAGAAAATTTTGGATTGTTATTTGCCCAGAAACAGGAATTTTTTACCTTCAACAGACAAAAGCCTTTCAAGGTGTGCACTCTGAGGCAGTTGGAAGGAGCTGCTTCCAGGGAGGCTAGCATAGCAGTGGGCTAGCCAGACAGCCAAAGGAATCCTTGTTTGTACAGCTGCAGCACAGGGTATTAGTGACTGTTGTTTGGTTTTTTTCTGTTGTTTTTTTTTAGAGGTTGACTTCAGTTGCTCTACATAGCATTTAAGTCACACTGTGGCAGAGTCCCTTTGTCCAGCTTGTACCAGAACCTGCACATAGCTAAGGTATAATTGCTCTGCTTTTACAAATAGTTTCTCAGTTATAAACTGGATATTCAATTCCATGGTTTAGCAATTTCAAATTGCATAAACTGCGACATAAATCCTGTATTTGACAATTCCAGAAACAGGCAGTAATATGGCATCCATAAATACAGAATCATAGAATCACAGAATCACTCAAGTTGCCAAAGACCGTTGAGATCATCAAGCCCAACCACAAAACTAACACTGCCAAGTCCACCATCAATATACTGCTGAATACTAGACACTATGATTTGTTCATTGCATGCATATTGCACTTTGACTGCCCAATATTGATGCTTGTTCTTGTAAATTGCAGGGACATGTTTTGATCTCATGTGAGAAGACTGGTAGTAGTATTCCATTATTTCAAATATATCATTTGCAAATTAATTTAAAAGGCAAGATACTCCTTCTCATAGGGCAGTCAAGATACAAAGCTTCAGCCCTGTTCAATTGCCACCCATGCACCTTCACTTGCCTAAACTGAGGTGCAATAACAGCAGTTTGCTTCCTCAAGCAGTTGCTGCTCCCATAAAAAGCAGCTAGGCCAGCTGCCCTTGGCTCAGCAGGGACTCAAGTTTTTAGCTAATCTCACATGCAGCTTTCAGAGCAAGATGATAAGTTCTCACTTCTGCTGTTAAGACCCTACTGTTTGATCACAGAAAATTAAATACTTGTACTGTGTGGCAGGAATTGTGCACACCTCTAAAGAAAACACAACAAGAGCTCTTATTGCCCAATAGTAGCTTATATTAACTACCTAACTGTGGCTAATCATTGGGGGTTGTATGTACTTTGAAGGGTGTGTGTAGCTCTGCGTACTTCGACCTTGTTTCTAGTGTGACAAACGTGATACCCACCAAATGTAGACTATCCTAAGACAGTGAGAAACAAGCTCTGCCAGACTCCATCCTGTACCATGTCCAGCTGCACTGAAACAAATTTCTGACTTCAAATTCACACAGAAGCTCTGTGAAACTACAGGCCATGTCCTTTCTTGCAGCAACTAAGATGCAGGCAAGCCTCTGGACAGTTGACTCATATTTGTTTTGAAGCAAATCAATGTGGAAACCAACATGTCTGCATTCCATCTAATTATGCCTAATTATGCACAACCTTTTCTTTGCACAGTGTCCTTCAGACTAACTTACAAGGCCCACAAGACTGACACTAATGATGCTTTGAGATATCTCATCTACCACATTGCAATCCACCTAAATTACACCTGAGCCCAGCAGAAACCATCCTACCTGCTGCCTGGCTTTCTCAGATACCTGCCCCAGAAGGGGCAGGCCTGGCAGGGGAGGCCTGATCCCCCTTGCTGCCTGTCATGCAGAAGCCTTGTGTCAGTGTGGGCCTGGTTCTGAGCTGCCCAACAGTGCTGTCTCGCTGGAGAAGTCGGGGC